CTCCAATTCTTCTTCCTCTTCACGGCCACAACAACTTTTCTCAAATGCATCCTTGACTGAGTCATGCTCTTGCTTTAAAAGCAATGCCTCCCTTTAGGATGTTCCCATTAGTGGAAACATTTCTTAAAGATGCCATCTGTTGGAAACCTCAATACCATTACATTGTTTGGAATGCTTTTCTTTACACCCTTGACTTTCTACCCTGTCAACCTGATGAGTTCCTAGCCAGTTGTGTTTTTTTGGTTTTTGAGAATTTAAATATTTTATTATATAAAGTTATACCCAAAATTGTGCTTCATTTTTTCACTATATACTTTAACTCAAGGATGTTTGTAAAAGTAGTACACTTCAGAAATCCTGGAAGAAATTCCACTAGCTATAGGCTATTTAAATACTGCTTACAGAAAGTATTAAAAAAAACAACAACAACAGAGGAGTACAAAAGAACTTATTTACAAAACAGAAGTAGAGTAACAGATGTAGAAAACAAACTTATGGTTACCAGGGGATAAGGGCGGGGAGGGGGGCATAAATTGGGAGATTGGGACTGACATGTACATACTACTATACATAAAACAGATAACTAATAAGAACCTGCTGTATAGCACAAGGAACTCTACTCAATACTCTGTAATGGCCTATATGGGAAAAGAATCTTTAAAAAGAAAAGGAGTGCATGTGTATAACTGATTCACTCTGCTGTGTACCCGAAACCAACAAAATATTGTAAATCAACCACACTCCAATAAATTTTTTTTAAAAGTATTAAAGGAAAACCAGCCCCATATAAACAGCATACACTTAAATCAAAGAGATGAATGCTTAACATACAGAGTAATGTTTTTTTTTTTTCAGAGTAATGTTTTTTATTCTCTGATAAACTAAAGGTCCATTTCAAGATGTTTCTCTTGTATACGTCATTTGTTTTGTTAGCAAGCAAAGCCCTGAAAGGGATGGCTTCATCTAGTCCTCAGACTCGGATCCATCTTCATCTTGACTAATCTGGAAGTAACGAAGTTCGTAAGTCTCCTTGTCAGATGCAACCACACGAAGCCAATCACGAAGATTGTTCTTTTGAAGGTATTTCTTTTTCTTTATTTTTTTTTTTTGGAGTGCACGGGCCTCTCACTGCTGTGGCCTCTCCCATTGCGGAACACAGGCGGCATGGGGAATCTTCCCAGACCGGGGCACGAACCTGCGTCCCCTGCATCGGCAGGCGGACTCCCAACCACTGCGCCACCAGGGAAGCCCCTGAAGGTATTTCTTGGTAAGGTATTTCAAATACCTTTTAGAGAACTGTTTCTCAGAAACAACTGTTATTTTATTCTTGAAGCATTCAATGTGAACGACATTCCCAAGATTTCCAGTTTTTCCATTCACTTTAACCTTCTCCCATAGAAACTGTTCAAAATTTCCAGAATCAAAAATTCCATCTTCTACTGGATGAGTAAGGTCCAAATTAAACTTCCAGGTTGACTTCTCAGGCTTCTTGTCTTTCTTCACCCCCATCTTGCACGCCGGCAGCGCGATCAGAGCTAGCCAGTTGTTTTTATTTACCAAACACTTATGTAGTATTGTGTGTTACTACTTATGCAGTAATAGTGCTATGTTCTAAACACCTTACAAATAAACTTTACAACAACCCCATAAGGAAGGTGCTGTTATTAACCCATTTTACAGATAAGGGAACTAAGGCATAGAGAAGTCAAGTAACCTGTCCCAAACCACACAGAGTTGGTATTCAGACCCAGGCACTCTGAATCTAGACTCCATGTTCTTAACCAGTTAATTAATTAATCAATCAATCCATTCACTCATTCATTCATTCTTCATTGAAACTTATTTATTGAGCACTCACTATGGCCAATCATTTTTCTAGGCACTGATAATCCATCCACCTACAACAGCAATCTGTACAATCCTATATTGGAATTATTTGTTGATCTCTCTCTTCTCTGGTGCCTCCTCCTTGAAACTGTTCGTCTTTGTAACTCCTTTAGAATCTTGCACAGTACCTGGCAGGCAGTTTGTCCTCAGCAAATGTGTTTCTCAGGAATAAATGAATAGTTATCAAGAATGGTGCTGACAGTAATGATAATGTCAACCATTCAATGTGTGAATCTGGTGTGTGACTATGACAGTGTGGGCCAGGGGCCAGGTACATCATCACAGTTGAGCCCTAGGCCAAGAGGCTTCTGGGGAGATGACAAGTACCTTCTGCGTGTAGACCAAGCCGTTGTCACTGTGATTATTTCTGCCATTAGTGTTTGTGTTATGCTACAGTGTGGCAGGTGCCAGCAGCGAGTTGGCCTGCCATACTTCCTCATGGCAGGAGAAGCATCAGGGAAGCAAATGCTTTCAGAAGATGAGCAGCAAGGAGGACCAGGCTCAGGATGGGCTTTTAGCCCAGAGTCTCAACAATCCAAACATCAGTTCTGGGTGGCTGGAGTCAGGGCACATTTGTATCTTACTCTTGTCTCCACAGTCCAAAGCCCTAGATATATCAGAGAGCAGGAATATAGAAGGGGGTGCTTTGGAGCAGGAACCATTAGATTAAAGGGCCCTAATCAAGAGAGCTCATCAACTTTCATTGGCTCAGAGCCTGAGTGGGTGATGGGATAGTTAGGGGTGGGCTCCAGGTGGAAGATGGATTTGGGATGAGAATGGGAGGGGGACAGGTAAGGCAGAGCTTAACATGGTCCTGAATTCCTTTATTTTTCCAAGCCCTGGGAGGAGATACACCAGGCTTCCTGGTTCTGTTTAATCTCCTTGGGGGCGAAAATCAGATGGCACAAATGATACTTCTGATGTTTATGCAGAATTCTCATAAGTCCTCTATGACTTTTCCTAAAGGATCCCAGAATCACTGTATTTAATGATTACAGGCTTCTTGGGTCACTGGAATTCTCTAAAAGCCATCAGGTCCTTTCCCCTGCCTCTGGGCAAGAGGTTAAAACAGTTATAGGTGGTAAATAGAAATTATGTGCCAGTGACATGCTTGGTGCTGTCAGCTTCAGATAGTACAATACAGCAACAGGTCTCTGATTATGGACCACTTCAATTCTGCTGGGCCTGCATCAGCTCCTGTGGGACCTAAAAGAAGAGTTGTGGTTTTGGCCATCAGCAGATGTGACCACTTTGGTCCCTGGGGGTAATGCAAGGAGGAGAAAGGTGTCATTTGTCTGACAGCTACCAGGATGCTGGAGCCTGCTGCTGAAAACACCAGCCAGCCCTGGTGTTTGTGTTTTAGGCCAATCACACAACCCAGGGATGGGGAGGTATGGGAGATTTTCCAGGAAAAATTCTTTCTTTCCAGATGGAGAAGCTAAGGCCTGGAGCACAAGATGTATTCATAGAGTTTGTCCAATCCCTAGGTTCCTGATTTTTAATTTAACCTCTTCCCTAGGACTGGCTCCATCCCAAAGCCTTCTAACTGAAAGCGAAACTTCTTTTTCCCAGGTCAGTAGTGGGGAAGCAGGAAAGAGAATTTGAAATTTGAGAAGGTTCTTATCTGTCTTGCATCTTTTTCTCTAAGATTGCTTCTATCACCTCAGGGTACCTTGCCCAGGAAGGACATTGCTTTTTGGGGTTTTCATTCCAAATCCGTGTAGTTCACCCATTTGTACTTTAATCTTTCTCTGTTTACCCCAAACATACCCTCATTCATCCCTGGCCTTCTCCCCTGCCCTGCCTCTCCAGTTGAGGCTTGGGTGGGCTGCCTTCCGCCTTCTATGCTTTGGTTTGGTACCCTGCATTCTGTCTCCCCTCTGGCCCAACCTCTCCTGTAATGAACTTCCTTCTGGTACATCCTTGGTACATCCACCTACCACAGTGGTGAATGGCTCTGATGGATAGTTCTTACTATGCATTGATTGGCCATTTGCATAACTACCAGACAGCTCTGGGACTTGAACAGCTGCCTTTGAAGGTGGTGAATACGTAATAATAATATCATTTATTTATTTATTTTTTAAAGACCAGTCCTTTGTTTTATTAATTTATTTTTTATTTTTGCTGTGTTGGGTCTTCGTTTCTGTGCAAGGGCTTTCTCTAGTTGTGGCGAGCGGGGGCCGCTCTTCATCATGGTGCGCAGGCCTCTCACTATCGCAGCCTCTCCCGTTGCGGAGCACAGGCTCTGGACGCGCAGGCTCAGCGGCCATGGCTCACGGGCCCAGTCGCTCCACGGCATGTGGGACCCCCCCAGACCAGGGCTCGAACCCCTGTCCCCTGCATTAGCAGGCAGATTCTCAACCACTGTGCCACCAGGGAAGCCCATAATAATATCATTTATTAAATGCATACTGTATGCCAGACACTAGGCTAAACCCTTTGTTTTATCTCATTTCATCCTCACAACAACTCTCTGAGGTAAGTATTATCACGTTCATTCCCCATTTTATAGGTAATGAAATTAAGACTCAAAAAAGTTGAACATTTTGGTCAAGATGATCCAGCTAGTAAGTGGTAGAGCCAGGATTGAAACTTGGGTTTGTTTTATTTCTAAATATAAGCTTTTAACCACCATTTTCACTGTCTATCCAAGTTGGAGGAATTGAGTTTTCTGGAACGTGACAAACATCAGTGGTAAAGCATAGAGACCATTTTATGGAAACGTGTGTTTGGAAGAAATCTTCCTGACCTGATGCAGAAGGTGCTAAACAGAAATGTGATGAGGAGAGATGAACATCCAGGCTGAAGTAAAAGTAGATACCATGGAGGCCAAAGATGTCCAAAGGTGCCTTGTAGAAAAGGACGAGGATTTAGAAATGCTGCTTATGATTTCAAGTGTCTAATCATCAGTAAAACATGGATGACAAAAAATGAACTATTTAAATGACGTATCTATCCATCTGGGGTGGACAACCTCAGAGGTACCACCAAGTCTGAGAAGAATGGGAGTTGAATGTGTAAGAGAGTGGTTTATACAGAGTGGGCCTGATAAGCCCAGAACCTTGGGATTATCAGGGCCCGTTCCAGAGGGGCAGGTAGCATATGTCAGTTGTAAACAAGGAGGCAAGGGCATCATTGAGAGGTGAAGCCAAGGACAACTAATGAATATCAGTGGCTGAATATCGCGACCAACCTATGAGGCAAAGGTAGGGCCAAAGGGGAAGCTATAGTCACTGAAGGTCAGTCAGCATGTACCAAGGGAATGGGCTCTGACTGGCAGAAGAAAATGAAAGAGGAAACAGGAAACATGGAAGACTGAAGAGGGGGACAGTCATTCAGTTAAGCATGGTTCTGGTAGATGGTGCCTTGCTATTAAGAGACAGTTTCCTATCACATTGTGGATTGTTTTAAAAGTGCTGACTTGCATCTGGCAATGGAAGGATGTACCTTGTTCAAAATAAATTCATCTGCTGGAAGGGGTGTGGTGCAAACCACAGGACAAAAGATATACACCTGTAATCGGTGTGAATTTTACCCTACAACTGTCACACGTAAGGAGCGGTGCATTTTTCTACATTAGATAAATATCACGTGAGCCCTCACTCACCCTGGTTAATAAGAAATTCAATTTCAGAAATGTTTTTGGGGACTCTCCCTCTCCCTAAGACCACACAAAAATTCTGAGCAATGTACAGCAGCTTGGATTAGGTTTGCTAGAAGCAGAGTCTGAGACAGGGATTCTTGTCCAAGTGACTTATTCGGGGAGTAATTTCTGGAGAGAGGGTGTGAGAGAAGCAGGATGGGACAGAGAGCAAAGAGCTGGAAAGAATGTGGTCTCAGCTGATTCTATAAGAAAGCTCTGGCGCACAAAATAGAACTCAGAATTAGTTACCCATTGAGGCAAAAGAGCCAGTCTTTCGTATCCCTGTGTCGATGAGTTATAGCTCAAGGTGGGATGCAGCCTCCCGAGTGAGGGGAAGACAGTTCTCTAGAAGAGAGGGCAGCTGTCCTGGGCTGAATGTTTGTGTCCCCCACAAAATTCATATGTTAAAGCCCTAACCCCCAACGTGATTATACTTGGAGACAGAACCTTTGCACGGAGGTAATTAGGGTTAGATTAGGTCATGAGTGTTTGCCTTCATGATGGGCTGAGGGGTCTTATAAGAAGAGAAGTGGAAGGTTCTCTCTCTCTCCACACAGAGGAAAGGCCATGTAAGGAGACAGTGAGAAGTCAGCCGTCTGTAACCCTGGAAAAGAGCTCTCACCAGGAACTGAACCGTGTTGGCACCTTGATCTTGGACTTATTAGCTTCCAGAAGTGAGAAAATAAATTTCTGTTGTTTAAGCCACCCAGGCCATAATATTTTGTATGGTAGCCCAAGCAAATTAATACAGCAGTTGTGAGTTGTTATTAACCAACATAGCTGGGGGATGTTTACCTTAATAAAGCCTCTATAGTCCACCCCTTGCCCCAGTCAGCTCCACTTTATTCTCATGTTAATTTCACTTTGTCCAGGCATAGCTTCTCCAGGACCCTGGTCGGTCACAAATCTGGGGACACTTACAAGAGGAGGGTTAGTGGAATGGACGATAGCCCCTGTTGCTGCATTTGGTCCATGAGCTGTAACTGACACTCATCAT